TGACTTTGGGCCAATCACTAGGAGACGGTGAGTTCTAGTCCCGCCTTAGGCATGAAAGCCAGCTGGGTGACTTTGGGCCAATCACCAGGAGACTGTGAGTTCTAGTCCCGCCTTAGGCATGAAAGCCAGCTGGGTGACTTTGGGCCAATCACCAGGAGACTGTGAGTTCTAGTCCCGCCTTAGGCATGAAAGCCAGCTGGGTGACTTTGGGCCAATCACCAGGCGACGATGAGTTCTTTAGCTCTGAAAGTCAGCTAGGTCAGAGGTCCCCAACCTTTTGGGCACCGGGGACCGGTTCCGTGGAGAGAGGTTTTTCCGCGGACCAGAGAGTGCATGGTTTTGTGTGCTGCCTGCATCCCGCGGATTGGCCTTTGCTTGTTTGTGCGGACCGGTTGCTGGCATGCCGCGGCCCGGTACCGGTCCATGGGCCGGGGGTTGGGGAGCCCTGAGCTAGGTGACTTTGGCCCAGTCCCTCTTTCTCAGCTAGGCCCACCTTACAGGATTATTGTTGTGGGGAAAATTGGAGGCGGAAGAAGTACTATGCATGTCTGCTACCTTGACTTATCTATAAAGCTGGGATAAAAATCGAATAAATAAATAAATACGCATGCCACCTTGAAACCTTATTTTCAGAATATATTTTGACCAATCTGGCCTGGAGTTTTGATATTTTTCTCTTTTACTTCTTGACAGAAAAGATGATAACCAATGAAGTTCTGGAAGGCGTTCCTTTGCTGGTTCTCGCTAACAAACAAGATATAGAGGTGTGATTTTTTTAAAAAAAATATTGTTTTCTGAAGTGTACCCGTATTTATTTTAATAGATCCAGGTTACTTTTCTGTCCACAAAAAAGGAGAGTATCATGGATGAATGGGTGGGTGAGTGGGTGGATGGATGGATGGATGGATGATGTGTGTTGTGTATAATTAACACACCCACCTTTATTTTTTAATTGTGTATGCCACCCTATAAAGTGACTGGGTGGCCATAGAAGGGTTTTTTTGGGTTTTTTTTAAAAAGGAAGTAAATATTACACAAATGAAGAAGTGGAACGTGTCAAATAAAGCAGAAGCCAAATGGCTTTCCATTGAATGAACTAAAATAACCTTATTTTTTCTGGTGGTTTTCTTAAAATGTTGATACACAATCTGTGGTTGGTTTAATGTAGAAATCACTGGAGACAGTTCCCCGTTTTACAGCTCTTGTACGTCTCTCACGGATTCTGTATTACACCCAATGATTCCCTCGGTCAAACGTAAACCTAAGGGAAGACGCAAGAAAAAAGCAACGGGGGTTTGGTTTTTCTTTGAAGCCTTGACAACCGTCAGGTCTACAGATAGTTTTTGATTTATGACCAGAGTTTTTGATTTATGACCAGAGTTGAGACCCGGAATTTTCAGTTCTTGAGTGAGGCGGTCATTCGCAGAGATGCTCCATTCAACGACCACAATCCCGGCACTTCCGGTTGCAATCGTTATCTCTTGGGACGTTAAGCATATAGAGCAAAAGAATTGCCTGCTGGGAGTTGAAGTCCACAAGTCTGGATTAGACAGATTTACCGGAACCTTGTTTGCGGAACAGCCCTGTTCAATCTCTGCTGTTGCAGGAACAACTGAAAAAAACGTTGATCAGAAACCTCGGAACTGCATTGTCGGCCATTGTGAATAACCTCTAGGGATGCTGCCTCAAAAATTTAATTCACCTTAGGCCAGGGGTCTTCAAACGTGGCCCTTTTATGAATAATAATAATAATAATAATAATAATAATAATAATAATAATAATAATAATAATAATAATAATAATAATAATAAAGTTGGAAGGGACCTTGGAGGTCATCTAGTCCAACCCCCTGCTCAGGCAGGAAACCCTATACCATTTCGGACAAATAGCTGTCCAGTCTCTTCTTAAAAACTTCCAGTGTTGGAGCATTCACCGTTTCTGGAGGCAGGTTGTTCCACTGGTTAATTGTTCTCACTGTCAGGAAGTTTCTCCTTAGTTCTAGGTTGCTTCTCTCCTTGATTAGTTTCCATCCGTTGCTTCTTGTGCTGCCTTCAGGTGCCTTGGAAAATAGCTTGACTCCCACTTCTTTGTGGCACGCCTGGCTGAGGAATTCTGGGAGTTGAAGTCCACAAGTCATCAAAGGGCCAAGTTTGAAGACCCCTGCTTTAGTGAGATGTTGCTATGTTGGTTTATATGCACTTTTTACTGTGAACTTAACAGCCGCCGTGGCAGGTGCTGTCCCCTAGGGGGCGCCGGTCCTTCGTTGAAAATGCACACATTACCGTTCCGTGCCAGGAAGAACGTGCCATTGGCCGTTGTGTGTGCCGCTTCTCACATTCTTGCATCATGCCAGGCCCGTCGAGTGCGTTCTTTGTGTACCACCAAAACATAACGTGGAGAAAGGAAGAAGCAGCGTCTTCTGTTTCCTAATATTTAAACATTCAAAACAGTTGAATGGTTGAGTCAGGACGAGGCATCACGTCTGTTGGCTTGCACAATGCAGCAGGCACGTAGCTCACCTTTTATTCTTATTTTTAAGACTGTGGCCTCTTCCAGGTATTTTAAGCACTGGAAATTGCCCCCGCACAAACTCAGCAACGTCTTTGAAATTTATCTGGAAAAGTCTGCGGGACTTAACAAAACTACGCAAGTAAAAAAGCGTCAAGCATTTTTGGTGTTCGGCTACAGGTAGGTCCTCAATAACAGTTCATTTAGTGACCAGAACTGCAGTAGCATTAGGAAAAAAGGGACTTACGACCGTTTTTCACACTTACAACCGTTGCAGCAGCCCCACGGTCACGTGATCAAAATCAGGACGCTTGGCAACTGACTCGTACTCCTGACGGTTGCAGTGCCCCGGGGTCACGTGATCTCCTTTTGCAGCCAAGTCAATGGGGGAAGCCAGATTCACTTAGCGACGGTGTTATTAATTTAACAACTGCAGCGGTTCACTTAAATGTGGCAAGGAAAGTCGTAAAAAGAAGAAGAAGAAGAAGAAGAAGAAGAAGAAAAGAAGAAGAAGAAGAAGAAGAAGAGGAGGAGGAGGAGGAGGAGAAGGAGAAGAAGAAGAAGAAGAAGAAGAAGAAAGAAGAAGAAAGAAGAAAGAAGAAAAAAAAATAATAATCAAATTTGCAGATGACACCAAGCTGGCAGGAATAGCCAACACTCCAGAAGACAGGCTTAGGATACAGGAGGATCTGGACAGACTTGAACACTGGGCGCTATCTAACAAAATGAAATTCAAGGGTGAAAAAAGTAAGGTTCTACATTTAGGCAAGAAAAACCAAATGTATAGGTATAGTATAGGGGGTACCTTGCTCAAGAGTAGTAACTGTGAGAGGGACCTTGGAGTCCTAGTGGACAATCACTTAAATAGGAGCCAGCCGTCTGCTGCAGCTGCCAAAAAAACCCAACACATTGCTGGGCTGCATTAACAGGGATAGAATCAAGATCAGGTGAAGTGTTAATACCACTTTACAATGCCTTGGTAAGGCCACACTTGGAATACGGCATCCAGTTTTGGTCACCACGATGTAAAAAAAGATGCTGAGACTCTAGAAAGAGTACAGAGAAGAGCAACAAAGATGATTAGGGGACTGGAGGCTAAA